CTAACAAAAACAGCCAGTTAGTATTATTTTTAAAAAAGCACATACAATTCGACAAGAAATTTAAAAGTATTCGCAAATTCTGTTGTTGTTACATTTTAGTGTTTTTTTATTAATAAACAAAATATAAAACAAAGCAATAATGGACATTTTTGTTTTGCCCTGTACTTGCTATACAATGAATTCAGATTAAACATTCAGATATTTAGAAAACAACTTTTGGTTGCCATAAGCTACATTGATTTGTACAAAAGTAATAAGTATATTTTATTCAAATTTGTTAAAATGAAAAGTTTTGATTTAAACTGAATAATTAATTATAAATTTTAATTTGATGTAAAAAATTATGACTGTACAGTTAAAGTTCGTTATTGTTAATTATTTTGAATAGTATAGTTGTAATTAGGTCACAAATAATGTAATAACTTTAGAAGGAAAAAATATAATTTATTACTTTCTGAGGCGGAATGATATTTTGATCAAAAATACTTTTATGAATAAATGCTATAGAGGTACAGAATCCATAAATCCATAGAAAAATTGCACAATTGGGTACAAAGAATATGACAAAAAAAGTATTTTTATAATTATCAACTTATAGGGTAACTAATTTGTATTAGTTTTACAAACTAATTTTTTAATATTTAAAATGTTTCATTCGAGTTAATGCTGCTATTTAGTAGTGATAAAAAAAACAATCCCACAAAAAAACAAATATTTATGTATAATTGAACACCAAACAGTATGTACCTATAAAGAAAAAAAAAAGTTAACTATATTTTCTGTCAACAGTACTATGTATTTTACTTTACTACAGTAAAGTCGACTTAATTTATACATTTTGCAGTCAGTTTTTCCAGTGCCACAACTAAGTTCTGTAAACCTAAAACTTTTTTTTTTTTTTACCAAAACACCACACAATTGTTTGCTGTCAGCTTTACACAATTATAAGATAAAGGAATGGCCCCATTAATCTTTATCAAACAGATCGATGATTATCTTTCCTATACGTCAAAAGGTGGCACAAAAGATAAAATTGCATTTGGTGCACTATTGAAACTTGGGTAAAAAAATAACAACCATTACAATAATATAACTATGTCAAACGGCGATAATTGATAACCGGAGCAGGTGCGTTGACTAGTGACGACGACGTTCGACGGTTATGCCATTTTTAAATATTTTAATTACCAGCTGGCCCCTCGTACGAAAGAAAAATAATACCAATTATCGCTATAATGAGAACATAATATAAGAGATAACGACGCGACGCGGTTCTGGTGAAACGGTTAAAAAACAGTTAGCCTGTGATAGTACTAACGCAATAATTACTTTATTATGGCGTTTAACGGCTCGACGACAGACCTAGTAATCATATTGTGGGCATTGACTTACTTGTAGTCCCCCTAACAATAATGTTTCAATAAATAATAATGATTTATTGGCACGCGATCTGAAGAAAACGTGACGATTTTAGATCGAGATGAGTGTGAATAATTAATTTTTAATACCGAGTATTGACTTAAATGGGAAGGAGCTAAAAAGTCTTAGCCCTCTTAATCTATCATCATTACCCTTTTTATAAACATAATAATCCTTCCGAAAACTCGATAAGACAATTAAAGTCTAGGAAGATGTCCCTGGTCCATACTGATTATGTATTTTGTCAATAATGACCTTGAGTTAAATATTTACCAACTGAGTATAACTTGGGATAATTTATAACGTATGTAGTTGATATTACGATTTTTCTATTCTCAACTTTTTCAAAGTAATATAAAATGACATAAGCTGATGATAAAACTCTTAATATATGGTTTACTCATATTAATTTTGAACATGAGAGTTCTAGAATTTGTATAAACAGTATTTTTAGGGTTTTCGTCGGAAAATAAATATTACAGAAAGTGGTTGACTTTCCACCGATTGCGAGTTTAAAATAAAACATTATTGTGCAAGTACTTGGTATATAATATATTATACGCTATACATTCTCGCACTGCTAACTACTTCTTTAATTGTTATTTAAATTTAAATTAAATAGATAAAATTATTAAATGTAAATCATTTTTTTCTTTAATAGAATATTAAAAATTGTTTTACCTCACATAATTTAGAAAATATTATAAAATAATACAGTATTTTGCTACCTTATGACAATGTTAATGTTAGCTAAAAGAAATGTCTAATAACATTTAATAATATCGATCGTAAAATATATTAATTAATAATAAAATTATTAAAATATGTTGCCAAAAAATAATATTTTATGAGGAAAATACCAACTTCTCTTTTCATCATCTAAGGCTTTACAAGAATTTGTTCTATGTTGTTCTCATTTTAGCGGTACAATTTTTTAGCTTTTTACTATGGAGCTACTATTAGCTCTAAATCCCAGTTTCACCGAAAATACCGACCCTTCGTTGTTTTAAATCCCGGAAATATTAATAGGTACGATGGCGACATTACATCTCTCTCAACCTTTTATCATCACAATCTGGTTTTATAGCCGCGAATAACATAACATATTTCATAAAAATAATATAGTATGATGTCTAAACAAAAATAATAAATAAAGTATAATGAAAAACATAAAAAAAAAAAAGAATTGCTAATAAAGACTTTTCATGTCTGCAAATAAAATATGTATACTTTAGATTTAGATTTAAATTAAAGATTAAAAGTTGCCTATAATAAACTTTTTTTTAAAAATGGTTGGCTAAACGGATAAGACTCCCTTGTCGCCCCGCTGTCATGAAAATCTTCAACTGATAAATTTACAATTTCTAAGAATCACTTTGTACTTTGGTAATTCTATACCCGGAAAACTTTTAAGATCACCAACGATTATGTCTCACGGTAAAATAAAAAATAACTAAATGCATGCTTGTACATTGTGTCGAGGCGGTATGATCAAGGGCATCGCACAGTTCGCATGCAAACCACATATGCCTGTATAGTTAAACCGTAGTCGCACGTGTCGAGTTTGAAAATTACTACGAGAGACGAAACGAACTATACATACATAATATACTACTTACATATTTAATCATATTCTAAATAGCGTATTGAAAAAAGCAAACCCACGTCTAACAAGTCCTTTATATAGGTTTAATTAATATACCAGTATTGTAAAGATCGTCCTAGACGCCACGCGCAACACGCTCCAACACTTGACTCTTCGAGATCCATGAGCAGATACAGGGAGAGAAGGTCAATAGCCAGTAGAAACAAAATCAATATCAGGTTGTTAATTGCCACGTGTCGTTGTAGAAAGTAACGGGAACGGTTTATGCAGAATATTTGTACGTGTAAAATTTGGCTACAAAGGAAGCAACTTTATAACCGGTAACCTCCAAGTGTGACTGATGGAAACGTACGAGAAGTATCGCCTAAGACCAAAACAACAGAAATATATCTTAGAGATCCACGTCCAAGCCAAAATTACTCCAAAACGACCGGAGGGTATTTTAAACTTAAAAAACGAAACGAAGGCGCAGGCTGTTCGAAGGCGCAGGAAAATAAATATAGAAATCTGGCGCCGGACGTCCGTTTCAACCGCTACTGCTATTGACTTATAATAATGTCACGCCGTTAGTAGATAATAGTAGTTTTGGCGCACGTGACTCTATTCATAGGGAGAGAAGGGGTAAACGGACACGTGGAACGTCTAAAAATACTGGAAAATTGCCAGAGGTTAGTTACAACAATCAAAACATGTGGGCCAAAAACCCGTTTAGTCAATAATAATTGTAAATCGATCAGATTTTTAAACAGAGTACTATTTTTAATAAATAAAAATACATCGTAAACATTTGTTTTAAGGGGACACGAAGAGAGCTATTTATTAAGGGGTGAAAGATAATACAACATTACATTTGGGACCCTCAAATATATCAACTTATTTAGAGTAAATGAATATCATGTATTCAGTTAAATTTAAAAGTTATTTTTATCTGAATTACAAGACGAAAGTATTTTTTGTTATTTTTTTGCAAAGCTTACGACTTTTTCTAATGGGGTTTAAGACCCAAAATTATATTATTATATTTATTAGAAAGTTAGTAAGGTTTTATAAGAAACGAGTAAATATATAAACGCTTATAAAACACAATTTATAAACAAAACATAACTTTCAAAGCTCATAGCTGACCGATATTTTAAACACCTGGGTCTCGTGGAAGGTTTGTGACTTGTGACCGTACACATATCTATCTTCAGAGAATCGCAATCCTTCATTTTTTCAATTTTCAAACGAGTAATTTAACTGTTTATGATCAAAAAATAAGAAACACACATTTTTTACTTTGCTGTCTGGGTATAATACGCGCAATGGACGTGTACTATGACCTAATTAATTTCTTTCCGATATGTCACAAATCCACGATTTAAAAATAAACGTAAATAGGTCATCGCATATTCGGTGTATTGTCTCTTAAAAAAAACATAATAATGGACTTGTACCCTTTAAAAGTCGGCCACACAACTTTGATAGTGTTATCGGCTATTGATTATTCGTAACAGGTCAACGCTTCACGTTTACATACGCACATTTCAAGTAGTCGTGACGAAACTCGGTTTGCCTTGATCACAATAAATATAATATGTATTAAACATAGTATACACAGGGTGTACAGAAAAAAAACCGTTGCCTTTAATGTCCTCTTAAAGTGGAGTGTTGAACTGATTTTTTTGTTTTTTTTTTGTTAACCTTGTGCTTACAAAAATTACAACACACGCCCGCAGGCTATGTAAGCCCATTTTCACAATAGGTCATATTTATGGTCTAAAGTTTATAATATGGTCAACCAGAACCTTACTATTTTTTCTGTAGACAATGGTTTTTATTTTTATAAACTTAATAACTAGGCGTTAGTAGTAATATTGATTTTAGGCGTTCATGTTAACGTGGTAGTTATGTCTTTGCCTCGGTAATGACTTAAATGTTATGCAAATTTGATGAGTTAAAAAGCAAATAGTCAAATAAATATATTGTTATTTACCGGTTCCAATTCCGATGGTGAGGTACAGAGTGAACAGGTTGGTGGCGTACACGCTCGAAAACAAACAAACGCTGGCCAACAACGCTCCGGCGATGGTTACCGCTCGGCATCCGTACTTATTGACAAAGACACTGGCAATTGGCCCTGTAATGGAAAACAAACGAATTACTTTTAAAGAAATTGTCGCTAATCCCATTAAAGTGACCTACTTAAATTTTAATAATAGTATAATTGTGACAATCACAATTAAATACAATTTCCCACATTCGCCTCTAAGAAACAAATACCTCAAAAAACTCAAAACATAATACTAATTGAATTTTTCACTAATTTTGCATTGCAATATAAATGTTTAAATCCAATAAATAATTTTATAGTCGGCCTAAGAGATTTCTTTACGGCTTATTTGTATTTTTTATACTTATTTAAAAAAATCTATAGAGACTTGACAAATACATGTATATATATTTTACATAAATATGTAAAATGTATAAGAACCAGTCTGATTTTGATTTTATACCCTGTAAAGTCAAGTCGACTGTTGACGGACACAAACACATCACTATACAAAAATTAGTAGTTTCCGGTTTTCATTTAATTGTCTTAGTAATTACATACCAGATTAGACCGAAAATCCAGATTATATAAATGTCCGGATTTTATATATTAAAATGAAATAAAAAATTTGACCTTTGCCTATTGATCATTAAAATAATTGGAATAATTATACTATTAACAATAACTATTATACTATAAGAATTTGAACTACTAATTACAAAATATTAATCTGTAATTTAAAGGATGCAAGAAGATGATACGAATTGCTCAAATTAATAGATTGAAATTAACAAAAAATAATTAATATTATTGTTGACGTAGTAGTAACAGAAAGAACAATATTTCATAGTAATTATTTCGTATTAAATATCAAAGTCGATATTAAAAAAAAAGGTTTTATAAATATTAATTTTTAGTTATCAACTTATATTTTATTATAGATTCTATTAAGCATGACCATAGCAAATTAACTTTGCTGTGGTCGTTGTAGCTAATTGTGTAAATTTTTAATTAATAATTATTGACGACAAAATACATGGCGATTTAACTAACGTAAAACACTAAATATACCTTAGAAAAAAGCAATTTTGTGGTTTAAAAAAATTATATATATATATTTGTTTATGTTATTTTATTTTTCTTCTTCTTTGACAGTCGACTTTGAACGTCATGACCAATTAAGCAAGCATATGATAAGTAATATTTCTCCAAACTTCCAGGTTTTCTATGCTTCGCATGATTTATGCTACTGACCAGATTCCTGTTTGCTATTTGATCCGGTCAATAAATCAAGTGAAGGACGTCCTCTCTATACATTTTGCCTTGCACTTTTCCTTGGATAATTATTTTTTTCTAGACCACCTCTTCTCGTAATATGACCAAAATAATTAAGTATTTGACACTGTATTAGAGGGAGTAGTCTGTTTTCTCGGATGTTCAATTCTTCTAACATTGATGAATTTGTTCGGCAAGATGCATTAAAATTCCATGATTATGAACCGTACGTCGCTATGAAAAAGACCAGCATTTTCATCTGATATATTTTTGTTACTTTCCTTGTATTATGGACCATCCATATCTAAGATAGTGCTGTTTTGGTCATGCCCAGTCTTTATTTAATTTCCTCCTCAATACAAAATTACTAAATATTTTTTAGAACTCCATCAACTTTAAAAACTGTAACGGTAATTAAACATTTTAAATTAAGAGCACATCGTTGAACAATTTATTGATCGAAAAACAGTTTGGAATAATTTTTTTCAGTTATTGAAGTTTAAAATGTTGCCCAGTAGGTGATGTGCGGTTGAATGATGCACGTAGATAAAAATAATACTCTTTCCTCCCGTCTTATGTTAAACTTAAAAACTTTAAAAATAAATATTCTGGTGATCGACCAGTCGAAATATATAGTAAGTTATTCTTTATTTAAAGTTAATTAAATACATACATTACCATTTTAAGTTTCTAAAGTTGATAGAACTCAAATGTTTTATTATTGTTTAATACCGTATAATTACTATTATGATAGTACCTAGTAGTTGTTTTTGTCAATTGTTTTTGTTGTCATTATCGTATGGCTTATTTTGACTAGGAGAAGGCTTATAAGACCTAATAACATGTCTCTGAAAATTAAAACTACTGAGTTGTAATAATTATATTTATAGGAAATGAGTGCCTTACGTTAAATGGCTCACACTGTACATAAAAATTAAAAAGTAATGGTGGCAGTTGTAACGGGACTTAATATGATAACTAATGTATAACATATAGTCCACGATTTCCCAATATAGTTAATCCATTTCTTCGGCCAATAGACATAAAATATATTATAACATACAATGTTTCGTACATCAACCATAGTCCGAAATAAACTAGACACAGTAAGAAATAATCAATAACGCAGTTTACAGAATCTTGTTATCCTATCAGGCGATAATTAAAATGCTTACAAAAGGACTACACCTCGGTAATAATATACTCTGTAAAAGCATTGTACTAGTATTGCTAAATGTTATTGTAATTCAAACGCTATCGACAACGACGCGATTGACTTTTAATAGACCTACAGACTTCATTATAACATTGCAGCCGAATCGAAACGTCAAAGAAGTTACGAAATAATTGGCACGACTCGACACATTTGGCACACAATAACGTTATCATACAAGCAATGGTTTCAATATAAATTAAAAAATTAGCATCACATCGCGTGGTAACATTACAAAAAACAAATTATATTCGTTAAAAATAATGGTTTTGTTATAATTATAACACCTCAATAGATAAATCGCTTTGAATATTTTTAGTTTTACTGTTATTTTCTGCAACAATATTTTGTACATACATTTAATATAAAATTTAATTAAATAATGTAGGGAAACGTTATCAAACTAACGGCAAGAAACATTAAAAAATAAACATAATTAAATAAAATGAACTGTAAATAATAATAAAAAAAACTATAGAGCTTTGTGTCTATAACCTACCTTAATAGTTATTTATTAAGGAAATGTGTGCATCGCATGCTTAAAGAGTGAGAATCGATATGATGATTAGTGACCGACGCTTTGACCTTTTGTCTCTATATCAATTAGTTAGGCTGCATCTTGTAAGACATCAATATCACAACAAATTGACACTAACAGAGTGTTAGCAGTTTGGTAGACAAATAATGAAGAGCCATAGTTATCAATTGATTTTTTATTTTTATGCTTTCAATAAGGCATATCTCAATTACCGTTTTTATTAACGCTCTAAAATTTACATATATACATCATAATTGACATGATTCGATTGTAAGAAAATATATATTGCATATTGTTAAATGTACAGCTGTAAAACGATTCGAATATTTGTAAAACCACCTACTGGGAATGCGTTCGCACAATAAACAATAATTAATAATAACTAACGCTATGAGAATTAATTAACAGACATTAAAGGACTTCGTTTAAAATATATTGGTTCAATACAGACTATGTATAATAATTATAACACTGTAATTATATGATTCATACAATTTTAAAAACAATACAATCGTTAAGTTGATTCAAACCTAACTAATGGATATTTTGCAAATACATAACTGAATTATTTAAATTATTGATAACATTGAATGTGATTTTGAAATATCTAAATGTATATGGAAATAAATGTACACGAAAAAAGCATCAAGAGGAAGTAAAAAAAAAAATGGCGATAGATAAGGAGAAGTAGGGACAATTCATCGAGACTTCAGCGTATGAGATAAAATCACTTTTTTATTTATTTAATAGATTTTTAACGCCCGCGAAGGCACAGAGTACAGAGAATACCGTAAAAGTAATAGAATAAAAGTATAGAAATAATAATAGACAATAAATATAGTAAAATTTGTTAAAAACCATTTAACAATCGTTTTAGCTTGAATCTATTATCAAAAAATAAATCGAAATCTGATAAGATTTGAATTCATTACAAATACTCAAAATCCTTCTGATGGGACTATGTATAACAAAATTACGGTTACTAGGTGCTAAATAGAATAAGGAATGTTGTCTAGTACTAACTGGTGTGGCCCTAAAACTGATATCATGCAAAAGCTCAGGACAGCTAACCGCTCAGTTTAGAAGCTTATGGAAGAATAAGGAGTCATTATAGTTACGTATTTTACTTAGAGGGGATATTCTACATTGGCTTTCAATATCTGTAGTGGGGAGCCCATAATTGTTTAATTTGTAAGCAACTATTCGTAGAAATCTTCTTTAAATTTTCTCAACTAAGCCAGTTTGTCGAAGGTTCCAAACCACTGAGCCAAACTCTTAAACAGAACGCACTAAAGCAAAATAGAGAACTTTAAGACACGCATAATTCATATTAGAAGTCAGCGCAGTTACGTTTAATGATACCTAAGTTTCTGAATGCTTTTGTACAGATGGCATCTATATGACAATTAAGTCAGACGATAAGATTATACCAAGGTCTTTAACCTCGCTAATAATGCTAATCTCAGAGTCTAATAGATTATAGTGGTATAGGATGGGTGATTGTGATGAAAAGATATTTGAACACATTTATCCGTATTTATGTAGGTAAAACCATTTTCAGAGCGCCATGCCGAAAACCTGTCCAGGTCATGTTGCAGTTTTAAACAGTTATTAACATGGTTAATTGTAGTGTAATAAAAAATTAAAATTCTTATAAACGGTATTAATGTCATAATGAATATTAAAAATTAAAAGGGAGATGGATTGTCCCCTTGAATCACACCTGATGACACTGGTATTGGGATTGACTTAACATTATCTATTTTAACCCCTTGGGTGCGATCTGAAAATTAAAATGATAACCAGGTCAACATACTATTACCAATACCAACTCTATTTAACTTACGAATTAAGATTCCCTGGTCTACTGAATCAAATGCTTTCCTTACGTCGCGTCAGCATAAATTACATCAACTTGGTTAACATTAGAGTCAGAGTTTACTAGATGTGAGAAGAAAATTACAAGATTCGTTTCAATGGATTTCGGTTTTCTAAAACCATGTTAGTTACCAACATAATAATATATATTTTTAATTTTAATAATCTATTTTTTATCATTTC